ATAATAACCAGTACTTGGCGGGGGATATAAATTCAACGAATTTGCTTGTTTTGGCTGTAGCTTGCTGTAACATTGCTATTATTGAATAGATTGACTTCATATTAAAACAGAACATTCTTAAGGACAAGACCTTCATGAATATCAAACTCAAATTGACCTTGGCCCTTTTATGACCTTGACCTTGAAGGTTAAATTATTGATTTTTCACTGATTTGTGCCTATTCAAATTATATAAAGGAAATGTTAAGATTTGATCAAACGTTTCTTTGTTTGCTTTTAGAAAAAGTAAAAGTTGAGTGTTGCCCCTGCCCGGCGGTGACTCTTGTTTATGTCTTTGACAAAACTAGTGTGACAAGACAGACCTATTAAAGTAATAAAAAGGAAAAAAGAAATCAAACTAAGATTTGTTTTTTGATTTTAGAGAAAGTAAAAAGTCAACATTGTTTCTCTTGTTACACAGTAGCTGTAACATGCTACAATAAGTTACCTGGAATATATTAACTGTTCAATCACCCCTGAATTGGCAATCATCAGGCAACATGGGATCACTGCTGCAGATTGTTCTTGTTTCCATGTGATAAACATCTTACATCACAGTTCTACAATTACATACTGAATGAAAAATTTATTTATTTCAGATGTTTAACAGGCCTATTATGATTAAGATTTTAAACTTTAAAAGTTTATGATTCTGTCCTCTAATTTTCATGAATTGAACTAAGGATGTCATTTGGAGTCCGGATATCCGAACGTTCGAATCACGATTGGTGTCCGGAGCCGATTTTCGGATCGGGATGTTCGCAAAAAATATTTCAGAACATTGAGGAAATGTAATAAAAAAAACATGCGTTGAGATAATTGACGTAGACATGGTGTTGACACCATATTGTATATTGTACCTTAGTTTGACAATACACATCATAATCTCTGCAGACCATAAAAAAATCAATAATTACTTTAATAACATGAGGTATGACACATATTAATAAATATTAAACACCAAACAAATTTAAGTTTTGTAGGATTTAAGATGAATATTCTAAGTCCTGTGCGATTGTCAGCGGCAACGATGTTACCTTCCTTATGTCCAAATTTAGATATTTAATTAGGCTATTATTTTTATATGCCCGAAAGAATTTCGCACATATTATGTTATACCCCCTGGCATCCGTCCGTCCGTCCGTACGTCCGTCCGAGCCAACATTTGATTATTATGAGCTTCATTCCGTAGTTAAATAAAGAACATAAACTCATAAAATTTAAAATTAAGAGCTATTTTTTGTTTTTATGAGCTTATTTTGCTTATGGACGTTGGTCCAGGTGGTGTTTATGAGCTCAATTGCCTCATAAACATCAAATTTTGGTATGTCCGTCCGTCCGTTAGCAATTTGGTTTCCGGAGCATAACTTAAGTTCCATTTGGCCCACAGTGTTCAAACTTCATAGGATGATTGTCCATATTGGGTAGAAGACCCCTATTGATTTTGGGGTCACAAGGTCAAAGGTCAAGGTCACTATGACCTTAAAACTGAAAACAGTTTCCGGAGCATAACTTAAGTTCCATTTGGCCCACAGTGTTCAAACTTCATAGGATGATTGTCCATATTGGGTAGAAGACCTCTATTGATTTTGGGGTCACAAGGTCAAAGGTCAAGGTCACTATGACCTTAAAACTGAAAACAGTTTCTTGAGCATAACTTAAGTTCCATTTGGCCCACAGTGTTCAAACTTCATAGGATGATTGTCCATATTGGGTAGAAGACCCCTATTGATTTTGGGGTCACAAGGTCAAAGGTCAAGGTCACTATGACCTTAAAACTGAAAACAGTTTCCGGAGCATAACTTAAGTTCCATTTGGCCCACAGTGTTCAAACTTCATAGGATGATTGTCCATATTGGGTAGAAGACCTCTATTGATTTTGGGGTCACAAGGTCAAAGGTCAAGGTCACTATGACCTTAAAACTGAAAACAGTTTCCGGAGCATAACTTAAGTTCCATTTGGCCCACAGTGTTCAAACTTCATAGGATGATTGTCCATATTGGGTAGAAGACCCCTATTGATTTTGGGGTCACAAGGTCAAAGGTCTAGGACACTATTACCTTAAAACTGAAAACAGTTTCCGGAGCATAACTTAAGTTCCATTTGGCCCACAGTGTTCAAACTTGATAGGATGATTGTCCATATTGGGTTGAAGACCCCTATTGATTTTGGGGTCACAAGGTCAAAGGTCAAGGTCACTATTACTTAGAAATTGAAAACAGTTTCTTTAGCATAACTTAAGTTCAATTTGGCCCACAGTATTCAAACTTCATAGGATGATTGTCCATATTAGGTAGAAGACTCCTATTGATTTTGGGGTCACAAGGTCAAAAGTCAAGGTCACTATGACCTTAAAACTGAAAACAGTTGTTGGAACATAACTTAAGTTTGATTTGGCCCACTGTGTTTAAACTTCATAGTATGATTGTCCATATTGGGTAAAAGACCCGTATTGATTTTGGGGTCACAAGGTCAAAGGTCAAGATGACTATTACCTTAGAAATGAAAATAGTTTCCGGGGCATAACTTAAGTTCCATTTGGACTACGATATTGAAACTTCAAAGGATGATTGTTTTGTGAAGGAGTTAATACTTTATTTAATTCCCATGTCTCACAAATTCTTCATCTTTACTAAAAAAAAAAAATCACTTTCGGGCATATAATGCTCCGCCTAGTGGTGCTCTTGTTATATATATTTCGGCTAACCGACCCGTCAACTCCTTATTTTGAGAAAATGAAAAATCTGCAGAAATAAAATAATCAAATCAATAAATGCACTTACGAATAATAATATGTTAATTATCACAGCTTTTATTGAAATTGATATGATAATTATCCGACAAAATAACTTTCTCCTTTAGTATTAATCAAAGATATGCATTTTTTAAGAACATTTTTTTCACAGTTTTTTTTTCACTTATAAACACTTAAAATATGTGTAATTCATGTAACTTTCGGCAACTTCTTTGATGATGCGAATCAAACAGCCAGGGCTACATGTTGGTAAACATCAAAGATTGGCAGATTCTTTTGAAAAGCCGGCTACATACCTGTCAAAGGTCATAGTTTGTAAATTGTATGCGTGTTATTGAACAATGGAAACATTATTATGTCTCCCCCACCTCGGGGGGAGACATATTGTTTTTGCCCTGTCCGTCCGTCAGTCCGTCCGTCCGTCAGTCCGTCAGTCCGTCCGTCCATTCTTCGTTTCCGGACGATAACTAGAGTTCCTTTTGACCTACAGCTCTCAAACTTCATAGGATGAATGGTCTTATTGAGCAGATGATCCCTATTGTTTTTGGGGTCAGTAGTTCAAAGGTCAAGGTCACAGTGACCGTTGGTCAATTTCTCGTTTCCGGATGATAACTAGAGTTCCTTTTGACCTACAGCCCTCAAACTTCATTGGATGATTGGTCTTATAGAGCTGATGATCCCTATTGTTTTTGGGGTCAGTAGGTCAAAGGTCAAGGTCACACTGACCGTTGGTCAATTTCTCGTTTCCGGATGATAACTAGAGTTCCTTTAGACCTACAGACCTCAAACTTCATAGGATGATTGGTCTTATTGAGCAGATGATCCCTATTGTTTTTGGGGTCAGTAGTTCAAAGGTCAAGGTCACAGTGACCGTTGGTCAATTTCTCGTTTCCGGATGATAACTAGAGTTCCTTTTGACCTACAGCCCTCAAACTTCATAGGATGATTGGTCTTATAGAGCAGATGATCCCTATTGTTTTTGGGGTCAGTAGGTCAAAGGTCAAGGTCACAGTGACCGTTGGTCAATTTCTCATTTCCGGATGATAACTAGAGTTCCTTTTGACCTACAACCCTCAACTTCATAGGATGATTGGTCTTATTAATCAAATGATCCCTATTGTTTTAATGGTCAGTAGGTCAAAGGTCAAGGTCACAGCGACCGTTGGTTAATTTCTCCTTTCCGGATGATAACTAGAGTTCCTTTAGACCTACAACCCTCAAACTTCATAGGATGATTGGTCTTATTGAGCAGATGATCCCTCTTGTTTATGGGGTCAGTAGGTCAAAGGTTAAGGTCACAGTGACCATTGGTCATTTTCTCATTTCCGGATGATAACTAGAGTTCTTATCAGTGAGGACATTTAACTATTATTGATATATCAGTGATATATCAGTTGTCTGGTTTTATATACTCTGTTCTTTTATCTCCATTTCCATTCCTGTTTCCATTCACAGTTATTCTCAGCAGTGGGGGAGACATGCGCTTTTTTACAAAAGCATCCTCTAGTTTTTATATTTTACGGGTGTTATTTTGTTTTCACAAATGTGAGCGAGTGTTATTGTGTATTATAGCACTAATTGGTGAATTGAGACAATCGGCGATGAATTTCATTTTCATTTCATTTTAAAATGGTAAGTACCATATGCACTAAATTTATCGAGAACAGTCATATTCTATAAAGAAATAATAAAATCAATAACGAAAAATTTTTGATATGTAACATTCATTTAAAAAGGAAGTAAAACGAAATATTACACTTTGAAAAAAGTCGCGAAAAAATGATTACGTCATATCAGCCAACTAAGAATATAACAACGATCCGAACATCCGGATGTAACATTCAATTAAAAAGGAAGTAAAACGAAATATTACACTTTGAAAAAAGTCGCGAAAAAATGGTTACGTCATATCAACCAACTAAGAATATAACAACAATCCGAACATCCGGATGTTTCCGGATGTTTGATTCGGATATCCGGATGGCCGTTTTGGCTCCAGATGACATCCCTAAATTGAACAGAAGGAAACCATTTTCATATCATCATTTTTAACGTCTAAAAAAAGATGTTCATAAAACTATGATTTTATTCAATTACTTACAAAATATCTGTCATTAGCCTTAAGTATCTGAGATGGAGGTCTGATTCAAAATATTTTGAATAATCTCAAGTATTATGCTAAAAGTATCAACATTTTTATTTCAGTTTATTGCCAGTGTCTTACTGCGAGCTTGTGGTACTGCACTCATACCCTGTGGAAGGCACATGCACAATCACAGATAAGCTAAAGCACAACATATCACAACTTCTCACATGCCAAGTAGTCACAACTGAGTCAGGAAAGAAGCAGTATGACAGGATGCTTCAAATGGCTTATGTTCATTATTGCCTAGCCTCCACTACAGTTACTGGAATACCTATGAAGGTATTATAATATTTTACATTCTTGTATGTATATTGTACATTCTTGTATGTATATTGTACACTCTTGTATGTGGATTGTACACTCTTGTATGTAGATTGTACACTTTTGTGTGTATATTGTACACTCTTGTATGTTTATTGTTCACTCTTGTGTGTATATTGTACACTCTTGTATGTACCGTAAATTGTACACTCTTGTGTGTATATTGTACACTCTTGTAAGTTTATTGTCCCCCGCCTTTTCGAAGAAAAAAGGGGGATATAGAAATAGGCTCCGTCTGTCCGTCCGTCTGTCCGTCTGTCCGTCCGTCACACTTTCGTGTCCGGTCCATAACTTTGTCATTTATGAAAGGAATTTGAAATAACTTGGCACAAATGTTTATTATAATAAGACGATGTGTCATGCACAACAACCAGACCCCTACCTCCAGGGTCAAGGTCACACTTGCTCATTCAAGGTCAAAATTGCCTATTTGAGGGTATATGTCGTGTCCGGTCCATAACTTTCTTATCTATGAAGGGATTTTGTAAATACTTGCCATAATTGTTCACAATAATCATATGATGTGTCATGCGCAAAAACCAGTCACCTACCTTCAAGTTCAAGGTCACACTTGGAGGTCAAATATTAACATAGTCTGTTACAGGGTATATTTCGTGTCCGGTCCATAACTTTCTTATCTATGAAGGGATTTTGTAAATACTTGCCATAATTGTTCACAATTATCAGACAATGTGTCATGCGGAAAAAGCAGTCACCTACCTTCAAGGTCAAGGTCACACTTGGAGGTCAAATATTAACATATTCTGTTACAGGGTATATTTCGTGTCCGGTCCATAACTTTCTTATCTATGAAGGGTTTTTGTAAATACTTGCCATAATTGTTCATAATAATCAGACGATGTGTCATGCGCAAAAACCAGTTGCCTACCTTCAACATCAAGGTCACACTTGGAGGTCAAATATTAACATAGTCTGTTACAGGGTATATTTCGTGTCCGGTCCATAACTTTGTCATTTATCAAAGGAATTTGAGATAACTTGGCACAAATGTTTGTTATAATAAGACGATGTGTCATGCGCAACAACCAGACCCGTACCTTCAGGGTCAAGGTCGTACTTGTTCATTCAAGGTCAACATTATCTATTTGAGGGTAAATGTCGTGTCCAGTCCATAACTTTCTTATCTATGAAGGACTTTTGTAAATACTTGCCATAATTGTTAACAATAATCAGATGATGTGTCATGCACAAAAACCGGTCACCTACCTCCAAGGTCAAGGTCACACTTGGAGGTCAAATACTTACATAGTCTGTTACAGGGTATATTTTGTGTCAGGTCTATAATTTTTTCATAGATCAAAGGATTGTGAAAATACTTCGCACAAATAGTCACTATAATAAGAGGATGTGTCATGCGCAACACCTGCATCCCTACCTCCAAGGTCAAGGTCACACTTAGAGGTCAAAAATTAACATAGTCTGTTATAGGGTATATTTTGTGTTGAATCTAGAACTTCTTCATAGTTCAAGGGATTTTGAAATAACTTGGCACAAATAGTCACAATAATAAGACGTTATGTCATGCACAACACCTGCTCCCCTACCTCCAAGGTCAAGTTCACACTTAGAGGTCAAAGCTTAACATGATAGATTTTTAAATTCCGTGTTTCATTTTATTTTTTTAACAAATTTATTGTTACATTTGCAGATCTAGCATTGATCATAATTTTGGACTGAATGTCCTGAGGTCCATACCTCAATCTTTTGAAATAGCACAATTTTATGCTTCATATAAAACTCCCGGGGCGGGGGACGTTGGTAACTCTGTTACAAATTCTTGTTGTACACTCTTGTGTGTATATTGTACACTCTTGTATGTTTATTGTACACTCTTGTATGTATATTGTACACTCTTGTATGTTTATTGTACATTTTTGTATGTTTATTGTACACTCTTGTATGTATATTTTACACTCTTGTGTGTATATTGTACACTCTTCTATGTTTTTTGTACACTCTTGTGTGTTTATTGTACACTCTTGTATGTTTATTTTACACTCTTGTGTGTATATTGTACACTCTTGTATGTTTATTGTATACTCTTGTAAGTATATTGTACACTTTTGTATGTTTATTGTACAATCTTGTATGTTTATTGTACACTCTTGTGTGTATATTGTACACTCTTGTATGTTTATTGTACACTCTTGTATGTATAGTGTACACTCTTGTATGTTTATTGTAAATCTTGTATGTTTATTGTACACTCTTGTGTGTATATTGTACACTCTTGTATGTTTATTGTATACTCTTGTATGTATATTGTACACTTTTGTATGTTTATTGTACAATCTTGTATGTTTATTGTACACTCTTGTATGTTTATTGTATACTCTTGTATGTATATTGTACACTTTTGTATGTTTATTGTACAATCTTGTATGTTTATTGGTACACTCTTGTGTGTATATTGTACACTCTTTGTATGTTTATTGTACACTCTTGTATGTTTATTGTACACTCTTGTATGTATAATTTCTATAACATTTATTGCACACTTGTATCTTATCTGATCCACGTAGGGGAAAGTATAACTGTATTGAATTTAATTATTCCCTTTATATATACTTTATTGTCTAAATTCATTGTATCTACGGGGGATCTACTTGATCTTACGGGATAACAGTTGACTTTTCGGAAATAGATATTATATAGTTCTCTGGTCAATCTAGTGAAAAAGACAATAAAAATGTTATCGTTGATTTGTGAGACATGATAACAGAGAAAAACTACTCTATATATGGGAATGTTGAGTCTGTTTTCAATGTGTAGTGCAGTTTGTGACTGTATATAAAGCTGTTTGCTGAAACTAGTCATTTTTGCGATGGTGGATGAGCAGTGGCTATGTTCTGCTAGGCGCTGTGGTAATTGGACTGGCATATCGATGTGGTGGTATGTGTGTATATATTCTCTCAATTTCTATATAAAAATATATATATAAATAAACATAAAATGCAAAATATATATAAATGTGTGTGTGTTTATATATATATTTATAAAAACGAAACGTTAAGATTTTTTCAAACATTTCTTTTTTTGCTTTTAGAAAAAGTAAAAAGTCAAGCATTACCCCCGCCCTGCGGTGGCTCTTGTTAACTATGAGCAGTAGATTATTACCTTGACACTGGGAACAAATATTCCTAATTTCATTTTGCAAATCTTATTAAAATTGTTATTTTTTTAAAGTAAAAACTGATAATGTAACTAGGATTAGTTTTGATGATGTAGCTATGCCAGATAACGGTCTGTAGATTTTCGTTAAATTGGTCCAACTCCAAACCAGTCTATTTGAAAGACCCTGGTTTTTGACAACAGGTAAAAAGGTTTTTTCTTTTATATACAGGAAGAGCAAAATGCCAGCTCTTCAGCAAATTATGATGTAGAGCTCCTTCACCC